GAATCAAATGTAGATTCGTTCTACAGAATGTCGAACGAAATATTGAGAGAAATATTGAGAACTATTGAGGCTTTCTGTTATTGTTATGAAAATAAAAAAGAAAAATTAAGGAGCCAACACGACTAACTAAAGATACGCAGACATTATTGAATGTCACTACTATCTCCAACAGAACAAAACGGCAGTCAATGTAACTACTTAATATGCCCAATACATCTAATCATTGCGCGGTGAGTTGTACTTTTAATAATATTAGTATCTTTTAAATTTTTAATGATATTTCATAGATTTGCTATTATTATTGAATTAGCGAGATGATCAACTTTGTTAATAGTAATTTGAACCTCCAGCTCTGTAGCTCACCCCTGTGATTAGAGAAATAATGCTTTTAGGAGATAACGCTTATGCTAAGTTTAAGCTTACAAGACACTCTGCTCATTGAGATTCTTACAAAAATCTTCTAAGCTACACTCAGCAATCTATAAAGCGTGAGCAAAAAACTTTTATGGATCTTATTCTGAAAAAAAAAATCTCATAAGATATCTAGGAATAATAAACAAAGAAAATAACGCTTTACCATGTCGCACCTGATCAATATTGAACAAATCAACCATAACTTTATTTTTACGCCTTGTGTTCCTAAAACTTCAACTTTTTAATAAATATAATAACCATAAATTAAATACCAATTTAACAAAAAGTTTTAATGAGGTTAGCCAGGCTGATATTAAAAATGTTTGACTTCTATAAAAACTAAGGCCACTGGATCTGACAATCTATCCTACATATGATTATTATTGCATCAATCTTATAATAATTAGTCAATCATCTAATACACATCATAAAAATGTGCATTCTTGGAAGGACGCCAATGGGATTCCACTTCTAAAAATTTCGAATCCCACTGATATATCACAGTTAAGATCAATCTTACCTACTCCATCTAAGGTTTAAGAAAGAATTATGCATCCACAAATGAGTACTTAATATTTAAGAACAAGATCATTCCGGATCACAATGCGATTTTCGTAAATCTTTTGGAACTGTTTCTGTTCTTACAAAAATAACTGCTTCCAAGATTTAATTCAACTTGACACAACACTTTATTTCGATCACTGTGACGAAGCAAAAAATCTAGTGCTATGGATGGATAATCACACACGATTCAAAAAATATGTCTATTGGCTCTGTCAATAATCGCATGGATTACTTAAGAAAGTCTATCCAAATCGTGAAATAATGGATTCTAACCAAAAATTATCTCTATGTGAGTCAATAATATCCAGGTTACCATATGATGATTTAGTTTATGGTCCGGCTTTAACTGCAAGGGATAAAGACAGATTCCAGAAAGTTCAGAATGCCTGCTTCAGATTTTCTTACAATATGACAATATCAGGCACTTGATACGCAGACAAAAACGACTAGAGCTTTAATTTTTGCTTAAATCTAAAAAAAATCTTTTAAGTACCTAAATTCAAAGATCTTTTTCATCTAAATCTCCTAAATTGATCAACAAACTACAAAAAAGTTTGAAAAATATTTATTTTTGATAATCAGAACGATTTTGTATTATAATGATATGGCTTGTATAAGAACTGCCAATATTTCTTGATTGTTTAAATTGATATCCATGTATTTATCTTTTCATTTTCTTTGTATAAAAAAGGTTAAGTTTAAAGCAGCCCTTTGGCTAATACTTTGCCAATTATTCTTTTTTTGTAGCATAATAAAGATTCAATAATAATAATAATAATAATAGTTTCTTGAATTCCCACGTTGCTCAAAACTTCCAAAGGGTCCTTCCTTGTTGCTATTTGAAATTGTGCATTTTTCGCAACTGATATTTTCATAGGTGTGGTTACATTTGGGAAATAAGTACTTATCAGATCACAATCTGAGGCACCAGAATCCAAAAAGAATGTAATTTTCTTCTTATATATATAAACTGATTATTATGGGACACAACAATTTCTTTATTAAATCTACAGTTTGAAGATCTAAAGTCAAGATATAGCATTAGTTATGTCTTGTATTTGGAGTCGTAAGGTCAGAATTTCAATATCGGTTAAGATAATGAATGAAGGCTCATTATCTGAAACCTGTAATGTGGAGGAAGATGATACACCTAGCTAGAAGACCTCCTAAGTAGCCATTGTTTTTCACACTTAGGCAAGAAGATAAGTCATCCGCACCCGATACATTATCCGAAGAACTTAATGATTTTACAGGTCTTGATCATTTGTCAGGCCTTGTTTGCCCCAAGTTGTAAAGTAATTTTACATGGGGTTACAGTTCTTTCTAAATGTATGTGTGTGTGTATGTGCTGTGTGTATTAAACTTATTTAGTTGTTAAATTTTCCTAATCATATAAGATGAAACCAAACACCGCATATATAGCTATAATTACATTGTTCGAATATAGCGCGCCATCCAAAGTCTCAAAAATCGGTTAAATAACATTTTACATCGTAGCTAAACTTGAAAAACGATTACTGGAAAATTAAGCGACTCAATTTTTTGGAACTGGGAATATAAATTGATTGCACAAATTGTTCGTGTTCTCGGAATATCAGTCGATGGGTTCGCGGAATCTTCCGGTCGTCCCGAACCCAATTTGATTAAATAATTTTCCGGGATTTTCGAGTGGTTTTCTTGAACTGATTCAATTAAATGCACCGGTCATAGCCGATTATTTTGTAGAATTGTCGAGAGAATATTTCCACGTTTTCGAACATAAAACAACATGTTCGTATAGTAAACCTCTGGCAATTAATTGCAAGAAAACAAAGTATATTATAAATTATAAGTACTTCGTGTTGTTTAGCTGCATCTCTAATAATTGGTTATATTTTTATATATCACTGTGGATATGACTACAGCATTATTCTGCTTTACTTTTCACGATTGATTTGTTATGTTATGAAATTCAGTGTGTGGTATATATTTATGCCCGTTTTATTACCCTAAACGAGCCCTAACAAATAACTATACACGGTCAGTCAACGATAGAGTAAAGCTCATGATCTTATTGGTTCCAAATGTTATGAGCAAATGGTAAATACAAAAGTTTTAAAGATTATTTGGCTGCACAATTTAAAATTATTTTAAAGTATATAGGTGACTCAAAAAGCGTGACGAATAAAACCTAAATTTTTTTAAATTTTATTTTAAATACCATTTAAAATTCTTCAACTTTTTATTATTAATAATAATACCTAAATCCAATAGTTTTTCCAATATTTTAATTTTCCTAAAAAGTACTAGCTTTCACACTTGCAAAAAAATTATTGTTTTATTTTTATATTTGATATCGTTATTCGAAGATGACGAAAAAGATATATACAATGCAATTTGAATTAGATGCTACAGGGTGTTAAATTAAATATTTATTTTTTCTGAAAGATCGAACAAATGCCTACAACTTTTAATAAGTATGTCATATACCTATTTTTAATACTTTGCAATGTATTTGAACTTTTCCAATACATACCCTTCTTTCAGTCTAAGACTATTGCTATAACATTAGTTGGCCATGACAAAATGACATTTTTACCTCACAACTGAGCAAAAAAACATTTATTGTGGTGTGAGTAAATTAAAAAAAAACTAAGTATTAGATCAGAATATTGCATTAATTGATCTGATTATATACCGGGCGAGGCGGAACAACATACTTTGTTGGCAGTAAGAATTTACAAGGCGAGGTACCTTAATATATGTATACCAACTAGACAATCTCTTCAGTGTTGGTTTGATGCTAGTGGTAGTATTAAACGCGAAAAACGGAAAGTGGTAAACCGGAATGCTATCAATGAGGAAAATGAATTGAAAATTTTACTTCAAATTGAAGATAATCCCCAAGTCAGTAGCACTCAATTAACGAGCTGATGTGATCCCAATCTACCGCTAATCTCACCACTAGAAAACAAATATCATCCCTTCCATATGGAACTACATCAAGCACTTCTAGACCGTGGGTAAACTTCTGCACCGTTATAAATGAAGCGATAAAGGCCGATCCAAATTTAATGTCTAAAATAATGTTTTCCGATAAAGCTACTTTTGCCTCAAGTTCTTCATGGATAGGTAGAAGTTTCTTTTTGTAGGGAGAGACGCAGGGGAATAACACCGTTTATGCTAAAGAACTTTCAAGAAAATATACGAAGTAGGACATTTTAATAATATATAATAATAATTAAAAATAAGATAAATTAATTGTAGTAATAGGTATTTAATATTATTTACTTTTTCTGTATTTTTAAAATTTGGCAGTTATTTTCACCAACATCGCTGTTGCTTTATCTACGGCCTCAACAAAGTTCTTTCTCCTATTCATTTTTCAATCTTAACAGAACCTTGTATATACGGCGAGCCATTTGAGAAAATCGTGATTTTTCATTTAAAATGAAAATCCTGTAGTATCTAATTCAAACTCCTTTGCATATATCTTTTACGTCACCTTCGAATAACGCTAATATCAAATATGTGTGTTCTACCTTCAAAAATAATGGCGCTATAGTATTTTTTTTGCAAGTGTGAAAACTAGTATTTAAAAAAACCTATTAGGTTTAGGTATGTATTATCATTAATAAAAAAGAATTTCATAACGAATTCAAAAAAAATTAAAATAGGGTATTCACCCTGTATACTATACAATTGTCTTAATTTGCGCATCCTAACAATCCATACAAGTTTTGTATTCACAATTTCCTCATAACTTTTAAAACCAATGAGGTAACGAATTTTACTCTATAGTCGACTCACCCTGTATATTTATTTTTGGTACACCGCTGTTTGCAAAATGTTAACTGTGACAAACAACAAGAGTCATTTTACCGGCACATCCGCAGTAATTTTTGATCAAATTTAAATACGCACAAACTGCTTTATTTAAATTTAGTAAAAAAAAAAAACACATTATACCGACACACCGTCGCAACATTTATAAACCGGTATTTAGGTTTGGTAGACTTTGTCAAAATACTGAAACCACTTACTTCTTGTCGTCGTCGGAGGCGGCTGCTGGCTTGTCGGCTCTGGCAACTGAAAAAGAATTTACGACCCTTAAGATCATGATTTGTGACCGAAGCCCATTTGTCTTTTTTTTGCTGCGGAACGCCACGTACCTTCGCGAGCACCGGGTTGTATTGATATTTACTATCCAATTCTATCCTGGGTGTCGCCGCGATCGCCGTCAGCGGAGCCGTGGGGACGATCATCTCCTGAAAAAAAAAAAAACGTTTATACACGCTTAAAAACATCCCTAAAATTCGACAAATTTCCAATTTTTTTAAGGAACGAAAGAATTAAAAAGCATTTGTTAATAACCAAAACTATCAAAACTTTTACGGTTTTAAGCTAGTATATTATCAATTGAGTGCCACTCTCAAAATCAGTACATCAGATCAGATCAAAACGTAATGCGGTTGTTGTAAAAACTTTCCCAAAACTCAGCGTTTTTAAAAAGTTACATCATTTTTAAATTAGTAAGTAAAGTAATGGCTAATAACTTTATGTAAAACAACCTACACAAAACGTAACATGAATCTCTTTAGCGAATATTCGTGAGGCAATCAATTTTTTAGTAGACAAACGATGTAGCGCAGAAAGTCCTAATAGCAATACCTATAGCTGTTTTTTTTTAATTAAAATCGAAAGCTGGAAATTTCAATTTTCCATTGTGTTGCAGGAAGTATCAAAACAACTCTTTTACTGAACTCATGGATATGCAACTTTGCCCTAATTCGAGCTGCAAATCTTACCGTTTCCGAGATGCCAATAAATAATGATCATTAATATTTATAGTTGCAGATTTTAACTAAACGTCATTATCGTCAAATTATTTAAACGTGCTTTAAAAAAAAATTAAACGATATAAAAAAAACAATTTCAAAGTGACATCCATTTTTATAATTCCATTTGAATTATTTTGAAGTTTTCGGAACGTTAACGTTGTAAAGCGGTTTTAAAGAGAACTAACTGTCTTAAAAAAAAATACAGACAAAAATAAAATTTAAAATTAAAAAAAAATCTAATTTAGATAGTACACTCGATACGACGGATACGATACGATACGACCCTCGACGGACTTTGGCCTATATACGAGATGTGTTCAAAAAGTAAGGCGACTTTCAAGTTTTATCAAAAAGTGTTTATTTATTAATCAAAATTGATGTTGTCCCTTTCAAAGCAATCCAACGTTTTTTTCCAATCCTCGAAGCACTTTCTGGTATGGCCTTGAGTTCTTCCAACGATTTTTTATTTTTTTATCTCCTCAATCGTTCCAAACCTCCTTCCTTTCGTGGGTATTTTGAGTTTTGGAAATAGAAAAAAGTCGCAGGGGGCCATATCCAGTGAATGTGGTGGCTGAGGCATGATTGTGGTTTTGTTTTGATCAAAAAATTTCACAAGCACTGATGAGTGTTCCAGTTTTCCCACAATTCCGGACGTTTTCATAGTATTGCTTCTCACAAACAGCGCATAACTACAAAGTAATACCCTTTATTGTCCGTGCGTCCTTGTGGGTAAGAACTCTTGATGTATTACGCCAAGATAATCAAAGAAAACAGTAAGCAAAACCTTGACATTTGCTCGAATTTGACGTTATTTTTTTGGTCTTGGCGATTCTGGGTTCTTCCATTGGGGCGACTAGGCTTTGGTTTCAACGACATAAGCATATACTCACAATTCTTAACCAGTTATAACCTTTTTGAGCATATCAGGATCATCATTGACGTCATTTAACAGCTCTTGAGCGATGCTCCTTCGACGGTTCTTTTGTTCAAAATTAAGCAAAATTAAGCGGAAAAAACGATTGCCGCCGTATGCAGCCACTTCTCTAATAGTGATTCGACGATTTTTCAACACCATTTGTTTCACTTCTTCAACACTTTCATTAGTTATTGATGTGTTGGGGTGTTCAGAGCGGGGCTTGTCATCGACGTCTCCTCGACCATCTTGGAACAGCTTGTACCACTTATAAACATATTTTTTCCGTTGTAAATATTTCAAGTCTCTTGCAGCACTATATCATATTTTTTACACAGAATTGTATGCATTGTTTGTGCTATTTCTTTTGACAGTTGAAAATCGCCGAGCACAAACAATACATCTAACGGCTTCTGTCTCACAAAAAAAGCAAACGTGCAAACTGCCTGAAACCAACATAAAAAAAGGAAAGATCGCAGATCGAATGTACGTAGACCGCCCAATTACAAATGTCACCTTACTTTTTGAACACACCTCGTATAAGAGAGTATTTAAAAACTAGTTGACATGTTTTCGTTTGCAATTTCATGCTATACCTCTTACATCAATTGCTTCTTAGAAATATCTAAATTTCAGCCTTAACTGGATTGGATTGTGAAAATGCGGTTTTATTTGTGTAAGTCCCACTGCCTATGATATTTTAATTTTAGTTATTGCAAATTATACTTTCTATATCGCATTTTTCCCATGAAACATCATATCGGTAAATATATTTTTAAAATGTAGTTCACGACATTTTTCAGTTGTTATTATCACAGCTCACTAGACGAATGCCATCATTTTCAAATGTTTAGAAAAATATCGAGACATTTTTTACAAAAAAAAATAACAAATTTAAAATCTTGAATAAAATTTTGTTAGATATTGTAAACTCTGCAGAATGTTTTATTTCTTTTTATTTTTATAGGTCGGTGGATAATTAAATTTTCAAACGTGACAGCATAAAAAAAACCTCATCTAGGCAGTTAAGATTTTCTAAACAATATACGAAGTAAGCGCAGCAAATATACCTTTAACACAAAAGTATTTACGCTAGGTAATAATTAACTTTATAAAATAATCCACTACTTAAGGTTGTCCTTGAAAGTTTTTTTTTTAGATTCAGCTTTCTTACCTGTTGGAAACGCGGCTATTAAGAAATTGCAGGGTTAAAAACTACTTTAAAGAAAAATGAGACCATAGAGACCCTAAAATCACCAGTTATTTATTATACGCCAGGAAATAAGAGCGCAAAGTTTATTATTCACAAAGTAGCGATCGTTTCAAGTCAGAGGTTTACGGGTGATGACCATAAAAAAAATGGGTGGTTGGAGGACAGTTTCAAATTTATTCAAAACAACGCACATAAGTGAAAAAAGTAGTGAAGGTAACGACTAACTAACTAAGTAAACACCAGCGATCTCAATGATTAAGTGGTCTGGTTCACCATCACGTTTTGATCTTCGGCTTATACAAATATCAATAAACTTTGATCTCGACCGTCTAAACACACACATCTTTAAGAGTAATATTCTCACGAGTTTGATGGGTGACGAGTGTCTGAAGAAGTTCACCAATGAGTTGCATACTATACTCTTTCTGCGACTATTAGTTTTGGTGACGTAGCCTTCAGATATGACAAACGTTAAAAAACCCATGACTAAAGTACCGGAAATATCAGAGATGGTTAACGTCAGTCATTACCAAAGCTGATGTTTTAAGAACGACCTTTAAAATAAGACGTTGAAATGATAGACTGTAAGCAATCGGTGAGTCCTGACGGTAATATTTCATTTATACGTTTTTATAGGCGTATTTGATACGGAAAAAGCGACAAATTAAAAGAACTACAATTCGAGAAAAAAAAAGATTGGTTTGTTCCAGCAAAAAACACAAAGGTGAATCTTAATTAAATAGTTTTCGATAAGTGTAAGAACGTTTAGACATACCATAAAATGGACTGGCAAGTTTTTATAATTTTATTTAATTTAAGTTAAAAACGCATTCGAACAGTAGTAGCATTTATTTATTAATTTCTTCATGCAGTTCTAATAATATAATCTCTACTGCAGCAGATAATTTAATTAAGGTTTTTTTAAAGCCGACTTGGTTATTCTGGTAAAGAAAGTTTCCATGAAAAGTGTCTGGCGAAGCTTCTTAAACTTTTAATTTTATTATTATTTATTAATCCTAAATAATATCTATGCACCAACCTTGTATGAATTTCTGGACCATTTCTATCTATTCTACATATTTGTACTATATTTTAAACATTAAACATTAAAATAATATAAAGTAATTAACATATTTTTTATCCTTTTTCACCTATGCACATGATATTATGAATATTCGGATATGTTGCTTAAAATCACCCTTCCGTAAGCTTGGTCCGTGAATAATTGGATATTTTAGAGTAGGGTGTTCAAAAAGAAATTTTTTTACAATTTTTTTATTACTGCCCAACCTTATTTTTTGTTTGCCGACACCGCAACCAATGTTAAAAAATCGTTCGCTTAGGTATCCCACAAAAGCGTTATCACTCACCTTGAAAATATTGTCGACGTCGGCCACGGGGGTTGCGGAGGGTAAAGAATCCCTTTCGCCGACAGCGTTACCTTGATTCTAAAATAGAGATACAAAAAAGGTTCATTCCGAACAAGTCGATACCATAAAAATTGACGTTCCCTTTGTCAAATTTTATCATATTTTATTAAAAGAACACAATATATAATGCGGAAAAAATATATCATTAACAGTGCAGAACCAAATTCAGCACGGAGGCTCCTTTTGATTTCCCTAAAGGTTAGCGTTTTCAGTAAACGCTAATTGACAACTTTCGATCTTGTTTGTGGTATATCCGTCACTGCTAATACCAGACGCGTGTCGTACAGAACTAGCAAAACGAGTGTTAAATAAAAAATAAAATTTCACTGTCATTTTAAAGTGCAAAATATACAGCTTATTTTATTGATCCAAATTAACACAACTTACAATTCCACGTGACAGAAGAAACAAGGTTGTTTTACTATAATGATAAGATTCCGTAGACCAAATAAAAGAAGTTATGATTGTGACTGTTTATAACAGATATTCTCAAATCATTTTGGGCAAGACACCCCTTTTCCACCCCTCACACCCCCATCGCTAAAATACTTCAAACATCCAACGGCTAGTCTTTTTTAGGCATTGATACCAAACACTACAATTTTAACAAAATTATGCTTAACATCATTTTCTTATCAAAATTTAACAAAATAAATACAGATATAATTCAGTAAATTTCTATTGCCATTAATAATTTTTAATAAATATTACGTAAACTAGGTAATCATTTCTTGAGAAAAAAAAAACATTAAAATCGATAAGTAAAGTGATAGATGCTGACCCCCAGGGAACCGAATTCAAAACTATAAAAATAAAAATCCTGCTGATTGACCAGGTTCGAGATTTTGGGAAACTTTTGCTCAAAGTCATGAAAGATTAAATAGTTTCTGCATCCTCGTTATTATAAACAATTTCTGGAATAGCGAACAGTCAGCTTTATTTTAGTATTTTGACAAGCGAGCCGAATAGATTAACTTGGACCCTGATTCGGCGGTTTCCTAATTCCGTATTTCAGTTTTCAAGACCTACACACCTACAATTAACAAATAAAACTACAAATAGAACAATGATTTTGTAACAAATATTATTATTAAAAAAAGTACTATTTACAATACAATTTAATTTGTAAATTTCGGTCAAATAGTCGAATAGTCAGTGTAGAATTTTCACAATCCACTGTCTTTCTCCCTTTTTTCAAGGGAGTTTCAACGTGCCTGATTTTAAAATTTAAATTAGAATTTTTCATAGAAACTTCCACATGCTACTGTAATCCTATAACAAATCGCCCATCCTCAAAGAGACCTGCTTTCACAAAATTATAAGGATTGGCCTTCGAAGTTTAATTGAAACCATAAAGTACTGTAATACTTACTGTACTGTTTACAAATCTTTTGGATTCCTTCTGCGTCAATTATTTATAAATCAACTTTGCTGCCGTTTCGCCAATTCTTCGGTTGGTTTCTTCAAAGGTTAAACTTGATTTTATTTATTTATAAATAACCAATGCAGGAGGAATCTAGAAGATTTTTACGTAGCAGTAATGTCATGCCTTACTGGGTTTAATTCACGGCGGAAGGGAACAAATAGGTTTATTCAAACTTTTAATCTCCAGTAGTTCCTTTTTCAGCATATCTGTCTGAAATTGCTTCACATTTAAAGTACGTCACTGGAATCGTGCCTCTTTTTCCAAGAAGACGTTGGTATTTCTCGGATTTTTTTGAGTTGCATTATCCATGAATATAACAGACCTAGGAGGAATAGCCATTTGCTAGAATTAGTCTTTAAAAACATCAACATTCATGGTGTCATAATCGCGTGTCGCCACCCACAAATTATCCTGCCTTGTTTTACCAAAGGTAAACCTTCATTTATCCAAGCTTCGTCCAGATAATATATACTCCGATTTTACTTTCGAGACTGTCTAATTGTCTGCTCTCAAATATCTTCGTCGCTAGCAGATAATTCCGCCTCTCTCTATTTCTGAATTTTTCGTAAAGAACATTCATTACCTTCACAGTTTTCTACAACCACCGCGCTTCTCGCGTGTTGAGCTGTACTTCTGATGTTTGGATGCGATTAACTCTCCCTAAACAGTGCCATCATCGGGCAGGTTTCTTCGGCGACAAAAAATCTGATTCCCATTTTGATAGCTTTCGTGGCGGTGAAGAAAAAGTTATATTAAAGATTGTGAAAAAGGTTATTTTTTATATGCAAATGCTTACAAAAAAAATGGAACCAAATAACTGACAACTACGAACTATAGGCGAGAAGCACTGTATAACACAGGCTCCTATACGCAGCGGCAGTGACTATTTTAATTACAAACAAAATCTTAGTATAGTTAGAATTTTAGGATAGAATTTCTGATGACGGTGTCATAAAAAACTCAGAACTCAAAAACTACAAAGCAATGATTATTTTTCCATCTGACAAACCTCTATCCGGTACGCAAATGAAAGTCCTCAAATTTTCAATTACAGATTTTGTCGCGCAAGGCGATTAATCGAAAATGTTTTTGGCATAATGTCTTCTATGTTCAAAGTCACCAGAAAAAGCAACAATGGTAGTTCTGCCATGCATTTATTTACACAAGTTCTTAAGAAAGAGCAAACATTCACGGAACATTTAAACACCACCAGGAACATTAATATAAGCATGATGGGTGTTTGGCGCCAAGAAAAAGGAAACAACAAGTGATTTCTTCCATTAACTGAGAAAGCAAGAAAACCCTACTAATAATCAAGCTATTAGATATGAATACGCAGAATAATTTATGACCGATTAATGTATTTATGTATTTATATATTACTAATAAAAATATATTGTTTACCTCAGTATTTTTTGTTGGGACAAACTTATCCAAACAAACCCATGTTGTTCTTAACCTCACTGCTTTCACATTTCAGTGCATCGTCCCAGACATCTCGTTTCTTTGTTTTGCCTTTATAAAAAACTTCGGTAGGATTCCACAAACGTTTTTGAAACAACGAAGTTGTGTTATTCCACTACATTTTTCAGATAAACTATTTTCAAATCGACATCAACAGACAATTCGCAGAGACGTCCACATATAAATTAAGCAGAACGAATTATCCAGCAATTTTTCTTTGATCTAAGCGAAGCTCTGTGCAAAGGCGGATGGACACATTCGTTCGCCTTCGTCCGTTGTATGTACGCGCCTTAAAACCACTAACTTTTATAGTTCAATAATGATTTACAACTTCATTAAGAAACAGAGCATGCCAACGCAGAAAACCAACGGCGCCTGATATGACACATTATCAAAAGTTCAATAATCAACACCAATTTTCATAAATTTGCGTGGATTCGCTGATCACAATTTTTGGCGCCATACGATAAAATGGATGAAACAGATCTGATCCCACGATAGCCATTCGAAGTAAATTTTAAAAAAATCCGTATCTATCCCAGCTGAATCGATACATTCCGGAAAACAAACCAAACCGCTATGGCAATTCGCCTTTTATTGCTTGTTTACAGCCTCGTACATTTGTTCTAATGTCGTTCAAAAAGTCACCATAAAACTGCTTTACACAAAACCCTTACCTGGTCGTAACCCCGAGAACCCTTGTCGACTCCGTGTCTTATCGACGACGAAGAAGATGTGATCGAGGCCGCCTGGGTGTGATGCAACGGTGCCGGAGGTGGGCCCTTGGCGGTCATTATGCCGCCGTTGGACCTGTGACTCGTTGCTGCCGTACTGCTGCCATGTTTGACGGGCTGACCAGGGTAGCCGCCTCTGCCGCCATAGGGCGGTTTCCCCTCTGCTGGCTTCACGTAACCCCCTCTCTGCTGTCCGCCCGGTGGATGATGCGGTGGGTGGTGGTTCGGCTTTTTGAATTCCAACCGGGAATCGGGAGAGGTTTGATGTCTAGAAAGAACGTTAATTTTTTTTTTGTCGAATAAAGAGATGATATCGTTAGCTTTGATCCAATCGCAGTCAGAAACCGGTTTGGAACTGGAAATTCCTGTCACTCAACCGATTTCTGCCAGGCAAAAAACATTCATTGTATCAAAAAGCACCTGAGTGACAGGAATTTACAGTTGAAGACCAAGCAGTACTACCATCCCAATTTACATGGTGGCCCAATAATGTGCTTTATGTCCCATTCTATTTAAAAAATGTTTCAAAGAGTGCAGAAATAAAATCGAACGAAACATATTACTAATTATACAGTGTTACGGGTATTGAAAAACAAGAATAATGGTCACACACGACCATCACAATTTTATAAGAAATAGAAAATATACAGGGTAGTTCAAAAACTAATAACGTCTCTTTTTTAAAATGAAACACCATTTTGTTAGTTTTGGTTAGTTTCGATTCCAGCCATCGCAGTTTCTTTTCCAAAACCAATTTTCTCTACTCTACTCTACTGGATAAGGCAAATTAATGAAAATATCGCATTAGCATATTGTCATCAGTTAATGGTTCGTTTTTTCAAAAGTAATAGAAAATTCGACACAGAAGTCGAAAATGGAATTAAAAAAATGCTGTTAGATTTGAAAAAAGGAATTTGGTATCGACATCCACTTTTTAACAAACCTTGTCTATTTACTGCAACAATTGTGAAAAGAAAAACTTATGTAGAAGGTGTTTACTGGGTAATGCGTGCCAAACGTGATTTCAAGATAAGTCATACGCCACCTAGTGGTCAATTGGACATCATTCTATAGTACATTAACTTTATTGATTTATTATTATTCCAGTGGACGTTGGGCTCTTGGGCTTACCAAACTATTGTTTTTGTTATTATTTGTTGTTTACAAGTGGTGGAAAATAAAATTCGCAATATTTCTAAAGTAGTAACAGTGACATCCAGAGCTGAATTTCAAATCATTACTGTTGTATACCTAAATGTCACTCATGAGTGAATACAGATTCAGGAACTGGGCTTTCATTTGTCCTCAACAGAAAGTCGCCAAAAAGTTTATATGGAAACCAAGTCGTGAAAAGAATTCATCGAAATCATTGTCTAGTCACACGCAATATTTAATAACAAATCGATTCATACTTGGAATGTTCATTAATTGCCTCCAATATACCTCAGATATTTTTATTAGGTCTAATGTTGTCGCGCCATTTCGCTTAAAACAGGAATCTTTTCAAAAAATCATTTAAAATTATTGAATTTCCCAGTAGACTTTGTATATGAAACACTTGAATTTTTGCACATTTACCGAGATTTACTAGAGATTACACAACTGTAATACACAAACGTAAAAATAATTATAGGACACAGTGACGGTTCTCGAATTTTAATGTGACGTCAAATTATTGGGAAAAATATTTTTAAAAACTTTTTAAACAAGTTTTCCTAGAGTTTCTTTATCCTTCATTTTGCTGTCCATAAACGTTAAAAATGGAGCCAAACGCATTACCAAGAGTTTAGTAAAGTGCCTATGTAATGAGGATTTTTTTTCTGATTGTTTAAATGGAGCACCCTGTTTTGTGTTCAGCAATTGCCCCTCTACGACATTTTTTTAAGGTTTCCTGATAACTATCCATTCGAGTTTTTCCGTAATATTCAGTTATCGTAATTTAGTGAGCCCTGACCATAAACGGTACATTAATATTGTACAGTTATATAGTCGATATACTCTGCTTGCTATATACTAGCAACGATTAACGTAATAGTTAATCAATTATTTGAATTTAAAATGTAAATGTTCCACTTCTATATCCACTCACTAGATAGCGGTAAGATACCGTATTTTGTAAATCGTTAAAAAAAACGCAACATTAAAAGTGATAAAGAGGCAAAGCTCTTTGGACACTGAACGCTCCAATAAAAAAATAAGAGAATAATTAGTTTTCATGTCGTAAAACTGGCAAGAGCTCAGAGTACGAAAGGCCAAAGTTCATGTATGAAGTAACTAATTACTCAGGCACTCTCAGTAATGCATTAAGGCCCATTTTTAGTAATAAAAAAGCAGCAGATTGAAAGATACAAAAGATTATAGGAAAATACGTTTTTTTTTTTGTTATCTTCCACAATGAAAATTTTCCGGTAAATTGAATAACTCAGACATTAAATCACACGAGTTAACAAAACTACTTTGTCTAAGTAGCCGAATTATAACCAAAGGCCTAATAAGAATATCGTTACAATAGTGGTATTCTATAAGTGTTGCGAAAGGATTGTATAATAGTTTGCAAATCAGCCTTGTTCTATCAAATTTACCACTAAAACCTATATGACATGGGAATAATTAACCAATTTTTGTATTGTATTTCTTAAGTTAATTCTCTGATTTGGTTTTAACATATTAAAACCGTTTTAACTTTGCATCAACTTTGACGATTTATATAGATGCCATTTTAAGATTTTTTTTTTCAAAAATAACCTAACTTTTTAATATATTTTTTTTAATTAAAAAATATCAACGTCGCCAATCTCATGTTGGCTTCTTCAGAGCTTAACTTTCAAGTTATGAAGAATCCAACAGAATGATTGGCGAAAACTCAGCAAGAGGAACCCAGAAGATGTCAATTTCAACCATATTTTGCAGCCAAAACTTGGGGAGAGACACTCGAAAAATTTTATAGTTCAAAAACTATTGCGATTCAAAACTAATCACTGACGAATCACAAATGGCTCTCACCTGTTGTTTGAACCACCTGATGGTGACGTTGCCGATTGGTGAGCTGTGTGATGGCGGGTCGGGGGACCACCGGGACTGGGAGGTACGCCATCCACCCCTATCAGACCCGACGAGTCCTTTTGGTCTATTAAATGTCGCAGGCGCTGAAAATCACCAAGCTTGCTCTGAATCTGCTGGGTGACTGGGTCACGAGTGGATGGACTGACCTGTAACAAACACAATGTTGTAACGTCGCGTTGGAAGCAAACAAATCGAATAAAAAGTTCACCACGTGTGAGTAATGCTTTGTCACCAATTTAAGTTACATGGATCGGAATATTAAATAATAATAATAAGTTTAAAAAACAATTAAGTAGCTATAGTCTAAAGTTTCAGAGACACACACTCATAATCAGAATGATCGCAGAAACCTATCTAAAAACTAAAAAGTTAAAACAAAGACGCCACGAGTCGTCGACCTAAAGAAAGGAGATAACTGAAGTGTGTAAGGTTAACTTCACTACATAAAAATGTAGGACGTTCAATTTCACATTAAAATTGGATTAATGTAAATAATTTTGATATTGCTATCGAACCCCAGCGGATACAGAATGGGAAAACATGAGAAAACACAGATTCGAAACAGCTGCAGGAAAATTCAATATGATCATATCGACACAGAAGACACGACCATTGACAATAGCGAGAGAACCCAGAAGATGCAAACTGGCAATTTATAATAAAAGTGTGGAGTAGGTTATGTCTTTTAAGTATCTAGGGGCTAACATCACGAGCAATAGGAACCTGAAACAAGAAGTAAAAATGCAAACAATAGTAGCATCTAGGATATCGGGGTTCCTTCGAACCGTGATATGGAGGAATAAGTATCGAAAGCAAAACACGGATATATAAAACTTGTGTTAGACCAGTTTTGACATACGCCATAGAAACGAGGGCGGAGACTGCAACTACTAAACAGATTCTTAGAACGACCGAGATGAAAACATTACGTTTAATCACAGACAGAATAAGGAGCAAAGAAATTAGAAGAATGTATGACGTTCCGGATATAGTGAGATGGGCCAGAACTAGAAGAAGAGCATGGAGAGGTCATGTCAATAGAATGGAAGAGGATCGACTGGCGAAAATCGCAAAGGAAGAGATACCCAATACAAGCAGACCTCCCGGAAGACCACCAAAGCGCTGGTATAAGAGCTGGACCTCGGAGTCACAACTTATGTTGCTTCCTTGAAAACACAAGACATAGTCTTAAAATAAGAAGAAGAAGAAGAATACGGAATATGAAGATGGTACACAGACAACTCAAGTGCCAAACCGAACTTAAAACAATTAAATGGAAAAACCCATCTTAAGGTAATTATATAAATTTTCAAGGAACCTCTAAACCCGGAAAAAGATTCCTTAACATTTCAATATGTTCTAACTAGTTCGATTTTTTAATTAATTTTACATTGATCCATAAGAACTACATTCACCTAAGGTATTTAATTTCTCCACTTTTCCTATTGATTCTTTTTCTGCATGTCCACTTCTTGCCATCATCCATTTCTATTAATATAGTTCCAAGAGCCATTCTCAGTTCTAATTACGAGGTTAATCTTACCAGTTTGGTCAAATTCATTTAAGCGATTTCTTAAAGAACAATGATGTTTTAAATCATATAAAAAACGACTATGACTGCGTCCGAGACAAAACTAACAAAAAATGTTCGCTTTGCTATATCGAAAACTACAATAAATCTAATTAACACAAAATTGGCCACTAATTAAATAATTTCATAATAATTAAATAATACATAAACTTGATAAGTTTCTCCAAAGCTATTTAAGTTTGTTAGACCCTTTAACATTAGTCAATTCACAACAAGCTAACCAAACAAAGAGCAACATTTTTGTTATTATTGGATGTTTATTTAAGTCGTTTCGCCGATGTGTTTGTTTATTTCGCACGACCGTGACCATAGTCATTTATTATTTATGAGGTGTTGATGCTGTCGAGCGACGTTCGCGATACATAACATAATCAATTTCATCGAAACTTTGCAAGTGCTCATAGGTGGGGGCAATTTATTGTTGGTTAGGAAAAACTTGAAGGATTAAAAAAAAAGTGTTAAAGCTAAATGCACTTACTGGAGAGAGGTTTTGGTTAGTTACCTAAGTGATTATTTCAAAAGATAAGAGGTAGTTAGGAATGCGTCCTTATACAGAAAGCATTTTATTATTTAAAAATTAATTTCAATTTCTCACGGAAAGTGTTAATACATTGTTGTTTTGTCCAATATTTACCTTAGAAACATCCTTGTGCGAGAAGGAAATTGCAAAAACTGTTTCTTTACTTAATAGAGGACTTAATCCCAGTGCTGCTGCAAATGAAGTGAATGATTTGGGTAGATACATTGCACTTCCGTGAAAATGCAAGTTATCACAAAATTTTAAATACAAAACTATATAGAAGCAATCAATTTTCTTCTTTAAGAAAGTTATAAAAAATACAACTTCTAAAGTTTTTACAGTATATTATAATGCGTGTGTATAAGTAGCTATACGTAACATTTTATAGTATTGTTTAACTTTTGAATGTTATGAAATTAATTATAAATCTTTTATACCCCTACTTTTCCTACCGCAGTTCGGCCCTGCACTATATCTTTTTACATACGACGTCTGTTCAAAAAGTAAGGTGACTTTTAAGTTTAATCAAAAATCAACAACTAACCAATCCTCGGAGCCCTTATCGAAAGCACTTTCTGGTATAGCCTTGAGATCTTCCAGCGATTTTTTCTTTATCTCCTCAATGGTTCTAAACCTCCTTCCTTTCGTCGGTTTCTTGAGTTTTGGGAACAGGAAAAATTCGCATGGGGCCATATCGGGTGAATATGGTGGCTGAGACATGATTATGGTTTTGTTTTTGGCCAAAAAGTTAGACACAAGCAACGATGAGTAAGCAGGTGCATTATCGTGATGCATAATCCATGAATTGTTTTCCCACAATTCAAAAATGCACCTAAGTAATGGCTAATAACGCAAAGAACAGTGTGGCAAACTTATTTTAGATTTTTTTATATAACTTTATGTAAAATAACCTAAACAAAACGAAATACGAATCACGAAAATTCGTGAGGCAATCTTTTTTTAGTCGACCAACCATGAAGCGCAGAAAGTTCCAAAAGCAATAACTAGTTGTGTTTTTTTTCTTCACAATAAAACTCTTACCGTTTCCGAGATGGCAATAAATAATCATCATTAATATTTATAGCTGCATATTTTAACTAAACTTTATTACCATCAAATTATTTAAGCTCGCTTTAAAAAAAATTGAAACGATATAAAAAAAACGATTCTCAAAGTGACTTTCATTTTTATAATTTTTCATTATGAATTATTTTGAAGATTTAGGAAGGTTAACTTTGTAAAGTGTTTTTAAACAGATCTGAATCGAACTATTAGAGAAATATAACAGTTTTGTTTCAATGTTCAGAGCGAGGTTCGTCTTCTCGAAAAAAATAAAGTACAACCCTGTACAATCTTATAAATCGTTACCGACGAAAGAGAAAAATGGAAAATCTTTCAATCGAATTCAATTCTGCCAAGAATAGCGCTCATATACGGTGCTAAAATTATGTTATTGATTAGTTAGCCGACACAATGACCTTTTGAGAAAGCGTAGGTGTAGTTTATCAAATATTTTTCGCCTTTTGTAAAGCTGATAGTGGGCGGGATTGCTTATTGTCATATTATTCCACTTATGAAATACTTTGCTCACTTTTTTTTTTGTTTTACTTACCCAGGAATTAATTTTCTGAAATTCCTAATAATCACTTACGATTTTTTGCTTCCATAATTTCGAAATGATGGGTAATACTTCGAACTATGCGTTACTATATTAAGGTTTCCATAGCAAGCAAACGAGCAGCAAAGCTCAAATTTTGCACTCTGTGCACAAATAATAAATAAGACCGCTTACTTTTGATGAAAATGTTGATAGTTCCGCTGGAGAGAACCGAACCGAAAGCCTACCCAAACACTAACCACGACTCATAACAGACGTCAATAATCCAAAAAATAAGCCAAAAATGCGTGTTGCATATTCAGGCATCCAAAGATAGAACATTTGTTTTGATGGTATGTAATGTAATTTTTGAATGCCACTCTATGGCTACTTCATAAGTAGTGCCTAAAACGGTTTATAAAAATAAATAACATTTAAACATACTTTTTAACGACCTAATGTATCAAACCAACTGGTTGATTGGTTTCAGATTCCAGTTGGAGCGCGAGAAAAAAACATAACGCGGCGTTAATAATCTAAAAACTATGCAAAAAATGAGGGTTGCATATTTAGGCGTCCAAAGTTAGAACATTTGTTTTGATGGTATAACCAAATTTAATTTTTGAATGCCACTCTATGGCTGGAGGGCATCATCACTTAGGTATTTTAGAATCGTGCCCAAAAGCAGTTTATACGAAGGTGGGGTGAAAAGTTTCCATCCTGATCAAGAGGTGACGCAATCTTTGAAGCGGCGTCCTACAGTATCATTTCTACCGAGCTCATATGTACAGTTTCAGCCCAATCGCTACGTTATTTTGCGTTTGAGACAACATTGCGCAAGACACTTCGTGAAAAAAAATCGGAAAAACGTGCAGTCATCAAATACTTCTTATTTATAAAATGATTGAGAAAATCCATCAAATAGTGTTGGAAGACAGCAAGTTGAAAGTGAAGGAGATAGCTGAGACCTGTAGGATGTCAATTCGAAAAAACATTTCCACCGACAATTTGGCGCTTTATGGGCGTAATCCAAAGGAACTTTTGAGTAGATTCATAACTGTTATTGAGACTTGGGTCCATTACTACACTCCTGAAAATAAAGACCAGTCAAAGCAGTGGGTTGCAAAAACGAGACCGAACTCCAAAGAAGGCTGGTTATGGCTGGTTATGGCTGCTGTTTTTTGGGATGCGAGAGGAATTATATACATTGATTGCCTTGAAAAGGGTAAGACTATCATTGGTCAATACTAACCAGAGTTCTAAGTACGAGGTGCAAATTAAACGATCTCATTTGGCGAATAAAATAAAATTGTTTCATAACGATAACGCACCACCGATTGCTGCAACGTCCAAAATTCACGAATTGAAGTTTGAATTGATGCCGCACTCTACTCTCCAGACTTAGTCCCCAACGAGTATTGCCTGTTTCCTAACCTCA